CCCCAAAACCCCAAAACCCCAAAACCCCAAGTATTGTAATAAAATTGAATTTTAAAATGGAGAAAAATGACTTGGAGCAGTTTACACATCTCAAAAGAGATATACGCACCTTAGTAGACACCAAACTGGATAATGTTCTGATGTATGGACTCCGAATAGTGGTATCCTTATTTTTATAGGAAGAATGAGTCCCAACATGAGATAGACATCTCACATTCAAAGGTAGAGTATGATTTGAAATCACATAGAGATCCTCAATATTTAACCAAGATTTTAATAAATTTCAATCACAGAGAGATAGCGAGCAACCTCAAAGATGTAAGTTGTAACGAGTAAATCCTCTGTATAGCCCAAGTTAAAGAAATCAAATCTGGCCTCCAAAGGCACGTCAAATATGAAAGGTATATCTTTATACGTTAACTCTAGTTTCTGAAAGATGACACCAACATCTTCAGGAAGATTCGATAATAACTATACATCTGAGAAGTAAGATATTCAATAAAAGTTAGTCTGATGGATGGAAATATTTCGAATCTAGCTCATAATTCGAAGATTCAACCTCTTATTCCCAGCTTAAAAGGAACTCTTAAGGTAAGTTATTTGAGTGTTTCAAGTCTGAAATGACATCATGATTGCTTCTTGATGGTTGGTCATAGAAAACGATACAAAAGAAGACACATTATCATGAAGAGGACAAAGAAGTCGTAATAATTTTGCTGAATTTTAGAGGACTAAAGCTCGAAAATTTGCTTGAAACAACACTCCTGACAAAGCTATCAATAATTACATCATCACAAAAGATGATGATGGGAGTAATTGTGGAATGAAATTATAGAAAATTTCAATACGTTTGACGCAGATAAGAACTTCCTCAACTCCAATCAGCCTATAATTAATCAGCATACCAAGAATCCGTCTGAATCAGGAATGAACACTCTTACGTGGGTATCTCAGTCTGACCCTTAGTACAAAATCTCCTGCTTGAGCAATGACAGTCAATATCAACGATACTGAAGAGAATGACTACAAGAAAAGGAACTATGATTCTACCCAGATTTATTATGACCAGAAATGGTATGTTGACAAGATATTTGAGAATCTTTACCAAAATATTTCTCAGGGCCAATGTAAGCCTAATGTTCCCATCATTTAGATGATTCAAGCAATGATTTCAGGATTAAAACAAGTAAAATAGCTATTAATCTCCTAGTCGTACCAATATTAATGCTGATCAAATCGTTTGGAACCCTTTCCTCTACAGGCTTTCTTGAAAGAGACCAAGAAACCATCAGAAAGATCTACAGAATCCTGCTCTTTGCCAGACCTCAGAGTTATGAAGAGGTTGTCAATTACCTTTTTCCTGATAAAGGTAGAGCTTCTGCTCATGTTATAGACAGCAATGGGAAATCAACAGTCTGGAAGCATAAGATGATTAGAAAGTCCGATATCTTGTCAGGTTTGGCTACCAGTCCACCCAAAAACGAAGTTGAAGCAAACCTAATTCACGATTTCTTGTGAACTATCTGAAAGAACCAGTCTCTCGAATGAAAGCATAATATGGTTAGTACAAAGTAAGCTCTCACTTCTGAATAAATAGAAAGCTGAAGTGGGGCTGGTTTGACATTCTCAATGGGGTAAAAATCTTTTTGACCTCATAGATGAACATTGAGCGGATCAAGCTGACTCGAGATGATTACCAAGTCATGTCAAAATATCATATGATCAAGAGCAATTATCATTTCATAGAATTATCTCGTGATACTAGTAAATTTGGTCGATATTTTTAGGCTCTGTTTCCTATAACGACAACCAGAACGAAGAAGAAAGGTTCATCCTCAGTAAGACCAAGATAGACCTTGAGAGTAAATAAAAAGCATTCCAAGAAAAGCTTAAGGAAGATAGTCCCATACGTCCCCAGTCCAAAGAAAGAATCTAGTCGTGAGGGATCACCAGAAAATAACAAAGATAGCAGTGTCAAAAGTTCTGGTTCCCAGGAAAGTGTGGCTATTAAAGAAGATAAGAATATTTTCTCTTTTGCATCTTATGCCTCAATGGGTTCTGGGAAAAGATCCTCAAGGAAATGAATCAGCCCCAAGAAGTCAGGTAATATTCCCCCATGATTTCTAGTGGAGCTATCCTCTAAGAAGTTACTGAAAGTTCATAGCTCCTTCAAGCCTCAAAATTCCCAACAAGAGTAAGAAATTAGGGTAATAAGCTATAGGCCTGCTGATAGCTCAGATGAGGCATGCCTCATTTGAGGGGAATTCCTTGAGGCACACCATGAAGATTATAACACTGACATCAGTGATATTATGGTAAAGTTTCAACAAGCCTCAAAGAAAATTGACCAGAATAAGTTCCTTGAAGGTAGTGAAACCCTACAATTTTTCTAGAGATTAGATCTGAAGACCAAAGTGAACTTGACTTAAAGAGAGATATGAGATCTAGTGTAAGTCCTAGGATAATGACATGTAGCAAATGAACTCAATTAACCACTCAACTGAGAATTTTAAGAGTAATCGAGTTAAAGAACAACACAGCTTTATAAAGTAAATTATTTCTGCAACATATAGAGATATTGGCAAAGCATTCAATTTGACTAATTTGAGAAAGCATCCCAATAGCCCCAAGATACAAAACAAATTGTATTGTGGAAGGTTAATTATAGGCCTGACTTGAGAGAATCTAAATCTCATATGGTTGATTTTAATGTCCCGAAAAAGTAAGATTCCAAACTGTTTAATTTTTAGGCGAAATAGTCAGATCAGACCAAATTCTAACTTCTCACTCAAGCAAGCTAGAATGCTCTTGAAATATGCTAGAAAGGATGGAATCAGCAGGAATGATCTACTTCAGGAATCAAAATCTGGTGAAAACACAGTTTCTGTGCTCTATTGCTACAACTTGCTTGAAAAGGTCAGTAATTCTGAAGAATGCAAGGATGAAGAGAAATCCTTCAAGCCCATTGGACCCCAAGGACTCAGTAAGTTTGCTCCCAAGGAGCTTGAAAGTAGCGACACAGAAAAAGAAATCCATCAAGAAGATAGTAAATCTAAGAGAATTATTTTTAGCATGAGAACTTTGCTCAGAGAAATCAAAAGAAATAGTAACTCTTCCTTGAGGACATAAATTATGAAAGCAGTGCTTTATTAGCATGGTTGAAGGAAGACTCGACAGCCTTAATGGTATATAACCTGAGTAAAAACTTTAGTAATGCAGACAGTCAGATCCATCGCCAAATAACACACCTCAGAAAAGTAAGAGAAGGCTTAATATGTTAGAAGAAAATTGGATCAATCTAGCATGTCCCTTTTATGTCATAGAGTAAGTAAAACTGCTCATTGTAGAAATCCAAGATGGTTAAAATCAGAGCTGATAAGTATCAATCAGCCTGGAAATATTCAGCTAAATAAGGATGAAATAGTCAAGAATGATAAGAAATTTGACCTAAATTTTGACATATGTATTCAACCCGATCTAATCGAGGAAAGATTCATATGCGATAATGTTGAGAGTATCGATTGGTCTAATGCATAGGAGCTCAACGTATAAGATACTTCAGGCTCAAAGCTCACATTAGGTCTCATCTTCTAGTGTTCAAAGAGATGTGCGTTGAAAACATGGGAATTTACTCAGGTAGAGCATTTTCTCATCCTATAGAGTGCAGTAATTGCCATCCCCTGTTTCAGGACTCACAAGAAGGTTCAACACAAGCTCGATCTAAAGTAAGGATTTGCCTGACCTTGTAGACTAAGAATCGTTATTGCTACAACTGTCTGCACTTAAGAGACTTCTCAGATGCTTTTGAGCAGCATCTTGAAGATTATTATGGTAATATTTATAAGAAATCTCTATTTGTTAATCAAAGAAAATTCTTAGCAGAATATCCTGCCTTCAAAAGTCCACATCTAAAAAGTAGTTCATATACAGTCATAGAATACTAGTCATTACTAGCCACATATTTAAATTTTCTAAAAGGAGATGCTTGCTTAGCTTTTTTGAAATAAGATTTCCTTGACATTATTAATACCCTAATACATAGAATTCCAAATTTATCCACAAATATGTCCAAACTGTTATAAAATTTGTGCGTATTCTCAAAACTGTAAGTCTATTGTCTAAATCTTTAGATACGATTGATTGCCCAGAATGTCAGAAGTCATATTGCTTCAAGTGTGGATTACCCTGGACAGATGGTCATTATAACCCATTTAGCAAGTAAATATCTTCCTAATCTATAGTAATTCTGGCTTTTGACAAAAAATAAGAAGAAGCAGGAAGAGAATTCAGACAACAGATCTAGATGAGATCAAGTTCAGCAAACTGACCAAAGTAGCCTCGGTCCTTAGTTCCCTTGTCCTGATCCCTCTGTTCTGTGTGACACTATTTCCCTTCATTATGGCCGCATCGAAGATTATGAATAGGTAAGACACAAATAAAGACTTTGGATACTCTCTGTTAATTTTTCTCATTATTTTGTTACAAATGGAAGAGGGCTAACAGGCTTATAAGGAATTTATAAACTCCAATACTTAAGCACAAGCTGATAACGATATAGGACTCCGTACTATAGAGAACAAAGAAGGAATCCTGTAGTGAAATGCCTTAAAAAATCATCCCTCTTTTTACTATGTAAGTTCAGTGATATTACTGATAGACTACTTGCTGATTCTGATCATGTTCCCAATGACATCTGTTTATATATTTGTATGACTGATAGAGTTTTTATGCTCATAATAAAATTCAATAATGTACTTCCAGATGGGGTTTTGGGGTTTTGGGGTTTTGGGGTTTTGGGG